CCGGGTCTGATGTACATGGCAATTTTGGTGAGTTTTCGAGTATGTTTAGGGCCTCAAAAACGTGTGTCTTTGACACGAATAATAATAATAATCCGAGCAGTTCCAATAGGGTCTTCGCACCCTTTTGGGTGCTCGGACCCTAATAAGTTGAGACTTTGTTTCTCGTCTCACTGAGGAACCAGCGCTCAGTGGAAATCGTGTGACTGCTGGTTGACTCTCTGTCCCTAAATGATTCACTCTGCCTCCTCTTCTGCCACCTTGTGTTCATTTTTAAAATCTGCTTGAGAGAATGTGATTAAGAAAAGTGTTCATTAGCTGATGTCAGGAGTTATTAGTGTATCTGAACCGAAGACAATTATCATAGTTTATTATTCTGCTTCTCCCATCACCTCAATTCCGTATCTTACTTTAAGAGACCAGCAGGCGGCTTATAGTCAGTCAAGTCACCATGTTGTGTCTCATCATGAGGCAGGACGAGGGAGCACAGAACCGACCAACTGGAAAAAATCCAGATATAAAATGACAGGTCCATCTACAAGGAGATTTGTGTGATTGCTGTGGGTCTAGTCACCAACGACTGACAAATCATCAGTCATGGGCTAAAAGAGCTGACAGTTTGTATTCATTGTTTTCATAGATGGGATGTTGTGTTAAACTCCATATTTGAAGAGTGAGACACTGTTTAATGTATAAATCCAGAATGTAGGAACCTTCTTTCTACTTTTCCTTTTCAGCTTTAGAGATGCTCATTAGTTTGATTTTGTTATCTTTTGACAAAGATTGTTAAGTCTTTGTGTCATACAGCTCTGGGCTTTAAGTTTACAGATGTTTATTACCAGAAAACCTTTCATTCACAGGCCAGCTTTATGAGTCAAACGTTCTAAGGAGAAAATTCTAATTACAGAGAAAGCCGTGTAGGTGTACGAACACAAAGAAATAAAATCTTTCTCTGAATCTGTTAGACATGGAAGTCTTGGTGAACAAAAACACCTATGCAATCTGGATGTTGAATTTGAAGCTTGGTTGAACTTTATAGAAATGGCAAAAAAAAAAATGGATGACTGCAAGATAAGTTGTGCTTGTTTTTGTTTTGTTTGCTAAATATGCACAATACATATGAGGAAAGGCGATATTGCTGCAGTTCTCTTTACAAGAAAAATGTGTCATTTTATTGTCCATTTTGAAAAGCCCTGAAATTAGGCACAGACTCTTGGATTACCTCAGGAAACGTGCTGAAGAAAAAAATCAAACAGATCAAATATGTCAAAAAATCTGTTTATTAAAAAAAAAAAAAAAAAAAGTATACACAATTTGGGACAAACAGTTTCATTCCTGGTAAACAGGAGACAACAACATGTTTCTTTCTACTTCTTCAACAGATAATTATTTGAACCTGACTTTGAAACTTAAAAAAATAATTTCCCACCACATTTTGTCAGAGATTCCAGCCTGAAGCGAAATTGATGGCATTCCTATACGCAGGTTAATGAAACATCACCAAACGTCACATGTTGGGGTTTGGCCTGTATTGCCATGGAGACAGACAGCAGGTGTGGTAGTTAGAGAGTGAGTCAGAACAAAACCAAGCCTCAAAAAAAATAAATAGCTGCTAATTTCTGAAGTCCAGTGGTCCATGCAGGCCTGCTGTAGAGTGTTAGATGTTAAAAGTCACATCGACGGTCTCTGGTAGCCTGTTGTTGGAGAATGAATAAAGTCCAGGGCTGAGGCGGGGCTCTGTGTAGTCCAGGCAGACTGCTGTGTTGGGTTTAGTCTAAAAACTGTTGCGTGCCTCTGTGGGTCCATGCTGCTGAGCCAGCTTACCATAGCCGCCTCTGGCCGGGTCGTAGTCCTGCCTGTACTCATCTCTCACCTACACCAGAAACACAAACACAGGCAGAGGGTATCAGGAAATGCACAAGCAAATTACACACAGATGATTATTTTGATTACCAACTTTGCATAAATTACTCACCAACTTTTACTACATTTTAACTCATCCACTTATTGGCATTGAATTTTTATCTCTTATTTTTTTTCTATCAAAATGAAATGCAAACTGGGCATCTTTTAAATGTTCACATTTCTCACTTCTGACCTTTTACATCTTTGCATCTTTGAAACACAAGGTGTTTTGTGATTCAATTCAATTCAATTCAATTTTATTTGTATAGCGCATATTTACAACAACAAGTCATCTCATAGCGCTTCACAAAGGCAGAAACAGAAACACCCAACAATCCAAAACATCTGGATTCCCTATAAGCTTCAGCAGTCCGCAAGCAGTCCGTGATGAAAGCTTCTTTATTATATACAACAATCACCTGAGTAAAAATTTAAAGAATTGTTTCTAAAAAAGACTTTTTCATTGTTTAAGTACTGTTGGGGCTGTCATGATCATGAAATTAATTGACATTCAAATAATTGCAATTAAGCTGTCCCGGTCTATCTGTGTGCCTCTATTAGTTTTAGATTAGTCGTATTGGCGCCTTTGACCGCCACCTTTTGGCTGGAAATTTGACAAATCACCTCCTCCAAGTTATTGGCTTCTCCTTTTTCATTTGGCTTAAACTCAAAATGTGCCCACAGCAGTGCTGCGGTGTTTGACTTTGTAACTAAAGTCATGACGTTAATGTCGATAGATGCTCATCGAAATGCAGTCAGTCAAACACTGGAAGTTAAGCTCCTCGAGATAAACAGCCGGTAGGAAGGGCTGCAAACGGTAGAAATCCATGTGGAAACGGTAATTAAAACAAGACGTTTCTATCAGTTACAGCAAGCTGTTTTTATAAAGGTGAATGGAAATAATGGTAAAAATTATGAAAAATGATTGTGGTCAGGTCAAATAATTGCCACGATGTGATTCACTATTACCTGTGACAGGCCTGAGTACTGTAAAAACTAAACGATTCGCTGTCTTCATTCTGCCATTAGAGCTGGCTCATGAGGTTTTAAAGCTCCTAAAGCCAGTAAAGGTCGCCTTACATGTGAACAAAACGAGCTTGTAGAAGGTGGTGTCAGGCCACAGTGGAAATCGGAGGCCGTCACAGCTGTTCTCAGAGTGAAAAAGTGGCAACTACAGAAAGCGGTAAGATGCAACAACTTTTACATATGTGGACACCTGCTTGTATGTATTTTTACACAGTCTGTCCTGGAAGACATTCACAGTGTTGCATTTGGATGCTTACATTTTAAAAAAATCCCAGAAATAGTTTTCACACCCAGAAAGTGAAAACAGCTGGACACATACACTCCTAAACTGATCTCAGAAAGTTGTGTCAGTTCAGTCTTATTTTTACAGCCCAATTTTCCTCAAGGGCTTTTACAATCCTCTGTTTTTAGACCGACTCAGGAGGACTCCCTCTACCAAGATGTACAATTGGTGGCGTGTGCACAGAACAGCAACACAGCAGATTTAAAGTAATGACAGCCAAGATGACAAAAAATACAAAATGTAAATGAGGGTGGAGTGACGCTATCTGACTGCTGATGGAGCACAATGACAGCGTAAAGAAACGTTAGCGCTCAGAACATAGTAATAAACACTGTTCTCAGAGAAAACGATTAAACCTCAACGCTCCAACACACACTGTGCACTACATCAGAGGAGGGACTTTGTGAAGCTACCAACATCAGGGCGTTTTTTTATTTTTTTGTTTTAATCCAGTCCTTGGGCCAATATTTATGTTTCCATTATTACACTCTCCCTCAAAGCTCATTGTGTACGACTACAAAATTGGACATGATTATGCATCTTGTGTTTGTTAACGGCATAATACAGACTTTCATTTTTCTAATGCAGCACCATAGTAATGTCTTTTCAAAAGGCCACGGTTAATCATGCAGAATTTATTTTTGGAAGTTCTAAATATCATACTGGTGTATTAAAATGTCATGATATAGTGTATTGATTTTTTTGAAGGCCATTTCCGTAGATGTCATATTTTCTTAAATGTCATAGTGTGCCGCGTTTTATATTGTTTTTCGAAATGTTGCAGTGCAGAAGATCCAAAACTTTTCCAATACAGACAGACAGACTGAAAGCTTCTGACGACACAAGAATCCACCTACATAAAAGACTCTTGATGGGTTACTACAATCACCAGTGCTGTGTTCTGGGTTTTGGTGTTATCTTGGTACAAAACCTTGCTGGCTCCTGGATTCTATCTGAGGAAACACTTTCAAACTGCACATTTCACTTTATTTTATGAGTAGGTTGCTTTTAATATTGCTTCATTTTGAGTTGAACTAATATGAAATTAATTTTACAAGCACACGCAAGCATTTTTGGACTGAAGATGCTGCTAAGCAGTCTGAATCAAAACAAGCAGCCACTACCTGTGACAGAGCAGGACAATGAGATATTAAAACACTGAGCTAACATCAAGTCAAATAACCAAAGGACCTGAATTATCCACCTGTTTATGAAACGACTTTATAACAGATTTTGGCCACGTCTGACCCTGTTGTTTTTTTGTTTTGTTTGTTTTTTTTTTTAACTGTAAAACTTCATCTTCTGTAATTTATTGGCTGACAGACACATGAACTTGATAAAACTGCATTAAACTAAAAGCAGGAGACACAACGGCTGGACAGCTTATTGGTTGAGCTCAGTTTCAGATCAATTCAAGTCGGGAGTTCTTTTAGACAATCAACACAGTTCTTTAGACTCATCAAGCTTTAAACAAATGTGATAAACTTAACTGCATCAAAGTCATTTTTCCAGGCTGAGCCCTACATCAGTGGTTCCTAAAGTGGGTGTTTTCAGGACTCCTCAAGGGTCCCCACAGATTTGTTCACTTCCAAGGTTTAACGTATGCTTTTACCAGTGTTTTACTTTGTTAAGAAATGAGGCGACATTTTCACAGTGACAGTGTTTTTGTATTACATTTTCCAGTGTATCATACTGAAAGAAGTCAGGAATAAACATTAAAGACACAATCAAATGTGCAGTTGTGCCACAGCCAAGTTAGTCATTTTAAATCAGAAATTCACTGTTCCAGCTCACCATCTTCAACTCAGTGCAGCAGCTAAACTAAAATCACTGAATTCTGAGAGACTGAGAACATATCAAGGCTTCTGTGTGTTAGATATGATCTGTGTTTTATTGTTTTAGTTGTCACAAAGTTTCTCACAGTTAATAGTCATGGTAATATGAGCTGAACATTGCGCACCTGCACATGTGTTCTTGACATGTAAAAATCTGTCAGCACAGTATGAAAAGCACATGTTCGTGATATTAACCTTGCCAGAAAAAACAGTGTCGTAAACCTCACCTGTCCTCCAGATTTACCGCGTCCATACTGTCGTCCCTCTTTAAAGCCTGCATCCCAGTCTGTCCTGATGATTCGGTCGTCCAGCCGTGTGCCATTAATGAAGCGCATCGCATGTTCTGCATCTGCTCGTGTGTAGTATCTGGTGCAGCAGGGGTTAAGTCTGGACATGCACACTTTGTGGTAACTTTAAACTCCTAATGATGCATGGCATTTTGGCTACGAACCAGGAATACTGAGGCTTGAAGGAAGTTACACTCCTACCACAGTGAGCTACATTCCTGTGACGGATGAAAGAGAAATTAATGATGCAGCCTTATGCAAGGTGAAACAGAACCTCAAAGCAACCCTTCCATGATAAGACAAAAAGCAAACTGTCCAGAACAGAGAGAACCTGCCCCTCCATAGGTAGTGTGATCAGAAGAATATAAATACTGACAGTCCTGTTGCTTGGGGGAGCTCCTCTCCCATAAATCTGTGTTGTGTGAGATTCTGTGCTCTGCTAAATAAAGAGACGCTGACTTCAACCTCCTCGTTTTGAGAGTGGTGATTCTCAGTACCTGTGTGTTATGTACATGTAGGTGAATTAACTATTGTTAATTATGGTCTCAGATTTAAAAGGATACTCTACAAAGCAGAATCCACAGGCCGTCTTCTTGATTTTATCCAGGCCAATGATGATGCGCTTGACGTCTCCACTTTTAGAAAACAGCTCGTGCACCTGGATGTCAGTTTTAAAGATGATACAATTACAACACTGTGTAGGAGATAGGAAGTATTTGTAAAGTACAGAAGAACATCCTGATCATTATTACTGTAATAGATTTTAAACACATCAGCATTTCAGTGTAATTCAATAGAAATGATGTATCTAGTTTTGAATACAGAATTTACAAGTAGACCACACTCAAACTCACATAACTCACTAAAGTCATGAGTGTGTGAGGACAGAAAGTCACGGGCCATACAAAGAAAAAAAACTACTAAGCGTTGGATATTTTAATAACCCATTCTCATTGTATCATGAAAGAATATGATGAGAATAAACTTCTTTCTAAAGCCGTTGGTGCACCTGATGATGTACTCGGTGATAATGACAGCGTGTCGTACCTGCTCCTCGGTGGTGTAGAAGGAGAGGTTCCCCACATACAGAGTGTTACTCTGCTTCAGCAGCTTCTCCTGTTCATAGCGGTTTCCCTGAAAACACAAGCAAAGTGAAAAATAGGAGAAAACATGCCCTTAGGAAGCTATGAACATTTCAGATGGTCCCATAACACCTCGACAAACACTCACAACTCTGAAATTAGCTCCAGATTCAGTTTTTGAGTTGCTGGTTAAAGGTGAAAGTTAAACTTAAATGACAACATTAAGTGTCCAATTCTCTCATTTTAATTCAGCAGTTTATGGAAAGGTTATTGGAGCTCCTGTTTAAAGTCATAATAATGTTTTAAATACATTTTTAGATTTAGAACACCTTAGTTCCACTTGAGAAAACACAAAAGGAGCTATCTCACCCATCAAAACATACGCAATACCTCATCTGAATATTCAGAACCACTAAACTTGTCAAATCTGGACTAGATTAACAGAGAGTGTAAATCCTGTTTAACACATTGTCTAAGATTTGTGAAAAACTCAGAATGACTGCAGATTTGATGCCATATCACTTACATTCAACACACGCAAGGCAGGAATCAATGATCAGTACTAACAGGACAAATGATTACAGAGTCTTAGCCTCATGACTCACATGGACACCTTATACAGAAAGTTCAAAAATAGCAAACATATCCTGTAATTAAAAAGTATTGAGGTCTGATCTTTCTAACTGTGGTCCTCGAGTCAAGTTTGGTCTAAAACCTTCAGAGTGGATTTACCTTACAGATAATGAGTATTTAGCATTAATGATCTAACATAAACGAACAGTATCATTTGAGAGATGCTTTAAACTGCGATTTTTTTTTTTAAAGGGGCACGGAATGTGAACAACTGTAAATCAAATTTACTGGAGGAAATGATCAAAACCAAGAACCAACTCTGGACAATAAACGACGATAGTTTTGATTCAGTATTTCCACCGATTCATTCATGAAACCCTGTAGCTCTGACAGGTGAGTTAGCACAGTTACAGCCACGACTCAGTGGTGCCTTTTAGATTAAAATTCATCTACGGCCTTGTGTTTTCACTTTTTCTTTCTGCGAAGGCAAAGGACGCACATTGAAATGTTTTTCATCTTAAATTACAAATGCATCCTCTCACAGCTCGAGCCGCCGTTCTGCTGTTGGCTTGTTTACCGTTAGCTCACTACATAAACGTCAGGTTTACGTCAACAATTTAGATTTTTATTCGTTCTTTGACATTTTTTCTTCACTCACCTTAAAATGTTGGTCTCTGTATTGACTAACGTCGATGTAAGAATCACTATTCAAGGCGTTTAATTTAACAGCCATTGTGAAGAAATGGCAAACAGGCGCTCAGCAGCGATTCAACTCAGAGCACTGCGGGGACTTCCGGGTCATGTGTCCGTCCTCTAAATGACTCCGGGTGGAACAACTCGATGGCGCCGTCTGTTGGTGCCATCAAGTGTTTGTCGTGTTTTAATTTCATTTCACGTACACTGAAGATGAAATAATTAAATTTGGCATGTCTCTTAATATGTTTTAGAGCTCACTCCATTTTAACTACCATTCTCATGAACCACGACGGGATCTAAAATCTGTTATATATGTGTGTATAAAAACCAAGTACGCATTTTTTTTTTCATTTAAAGATATTAATATTTTGTCTCTCACGAGAAAAGGGACAGAACATCAGTCTGTATAAATATAAACAACGCCTGAACAGCACTTCCGCTTTTATACCAAAGACAAATTTGTCATTCATCTAATTACGGTTTGGATTATTCTTTTTTTTTTTTTTTTTTTTAAATCTCAACATCACATGACCACTGAATCACTGAAGCAGAAGCTGTTCGATGTGGGGCCACTCTATTGGCTGCTGCTGGACAGCTCCCACTGCTTCACTCCTGTCATTTCCTTTTTTCTCTTCCTTAGGAGTTTCCTCACTTTTTAAACTTTGTTATGACTATATATATATATAAAATTAACTTTTCTTTCTTTCTTTTAAACTTTAATGCATCATTGTAATCGTTTTGTTTTGACAAATGTTTTTCTAATTTTTGCTGTTATTTTTCTTGCACTGTAGTAACATGTTTTTCATAATGTAGTTCATATTTTTTGATATTCTACTTATATTGTAATATAGCAACTAAATATTTATTACATGTAGTCTTGATCAAACCAAATCTGCCAAATTAAAATAACAAAATAAATAATTATTAGTATGGCACTTACAGTAAACAAAACTATAAGTTGAGAAACAGTACATTTATAGAGTGTAGCTACCAGAATATTTCAGTGCATTGATTAGATTTCCTGGATAACTTAATATAGCTAAAGAAGTCTTCTACACTATGAAACATACAGAGGTGAAGCTTTCTGCAAATCAGAAAAAATTTGTTGTATTTTGTTTCACACTAAGAAGTTGTTTCTCATGTTGATGATATATATGATATATGTGAGAACACACATGTAGCCAAGGACAGCAAAAAGTCTTCTAAAGGATTTTTTTTAAAAAAACACTCCAAAGGTTCCCTTAAGGTCGACATTTTTATTATCCGAATTCAAACACTTAAACTGAACAAAAACATTTATGCTAATCGACCCCCCGCCTGACTTCATAGTAAATCAAAAACCTTTATTTATTTTGTGAAAAACAAACAAAAAAACATGTACAGATATGACTGAACCTGTTTAGAAATTACAGAAAATTAAAAACGAAAATGAGATGAAGTGGAAGCTGTCTGCAGCCACCGGACAAATACTAGACTTAGCTGCTGCCTGTCAGTTGTCCTAATGTTTAGCACACACAGTCGGTTCTTGTTTCACATATTAACTTCAGTCAGAGCATATTAAGCAAAGTCGGTAAAAGGACAACAACAGCTTTGCCAACTCCTCTCAAATCTGCCACGTATTCTTCATCAGAGGTCAAACGGTCTCCTCTCAACGGTGCAGCACCTCCTGGAACCTGAAAGAAAATCACAGCAAACATCCACATCAGAGAAACAACAAGACAATCTGAATCTGATCTGTAAGGAGCCCGCAGAGGAAGGACATCAACACCTCAACAGACCCTAAAAGGGTCTGTTCTCTGAATAAGAAGAGCTGGTTTGGGTTCAGAACTCAGGGTCAGAATATTCGTGCTTGAAGCTTGAACATGTCTGAAGGTAATGACATTAAGGATCAGTGCTAGCTCTGATGGGGGCTTCAGCTATACATCCTGCAATATTTCAAGCTGAACCGCTGACAAAGAAAAAAAAAAAGCAGAAATAGAAACATTTTACCGCCTAAGCCACAGCAGCCACGTAAAGCTTCTGGAAACTTCTCCTGTACTTCTCTACATGTGCACTGCTGAGCTCTGTGTTCAGTCCAGGAACAGAACATTACAAGTCCAGTCCAGTATACTTAGTTTTATAACTCTTTAAGGAAAAATGACTATTTACTCACAGTCCATGAGGTAAATGAAAAGGACAATGAGAAATCAGTAAAGTACACTAATGTGATTCAAGTAAGCATAGGTATTACCTTTTAGAGTGTGCACAAAAGGATAATTGCTTCTCTTTTCATGGGATTCTTGGCCTTTAATATGTTATTTGTGAAAATGGTTCAACTGATTGCTTCTGATTGAACACTCACATGCTGCAATTTAGCAAATGATTTATGATTTGAAAGCCACCAACTAAGAAGGCGTACTGCGTTGCATGGCCGCTGCGGCTCTTAACGTCAGTGGAAGGTGGATTCCTTCCTGCTGCTTCATTCAGTCCAACAGTGTAAACACAGAGTAAGTGTAATGCCTCAAACAGCCTGTTACCAACAGGTGGCGCTATGACTGTGAATGGATTTTGGCATATGGATGTGATCAGGACAGCAGTCTGATCAAATATGTAAAGTTTGAGGCAGATTGTACAGGGTAGTTATACAGAACTTCCTCTTTTATGGTGAGGATCAAACATCAGAGGGCCGCCGTGGTCACGCCCTTTGACCTTTGCAGATGATTTTGATAATATTTTACCTTCAAGGCGTTTTCTACATGCTACCCACGTTTCAGCGCTCTGTGACTTACCCCCTAGGAGGAGTTTGCTCAGATTGGACAAACAAACAATCCAAAATGGCGGACTTCCTCTTGGGTTTAGGGTATGGCTGTCACTAACTTTTTTGTTGGTCCTGACCTCCTCCATATACCTACCAAATTGCGTCGGTCTAGGTCAGACATGCTTCTGATGGGACTCTGCTGAAATTTTCTAGGTGGCGCTGTGGAGCCATTTTTCTATTGAGGTGTGTATTTCCCCCTAATTATACAATTTTTCACCGGGTCTGATGTGTGTGCCAAATTTTGTGAGTTTTCGAGTACGTTTAGGACCTGAGAAACACGTTTCTTTGTGACGAAGAAATAACAACGTAGCAGTTCCAATAGGGTCCTATTATGCACTGTAGTGCCCGGACCCTAATTAGACGAGAAGCTGTATTTAGTTTAAAGGTGCTGCTTATTGATGGAGATCAGCTTAAGTAAGATTAACACATCAACAATAGAGGTAAATAAAAAATGAAACTTGACAGATGTTTTTAAATGTGGGAAAACATTACACACACACGCACACACACACACAGACACTTCTGAGCATAAAAATGAATAGTTATAGTTTTGAAACCTACACTTTTAAAAATGATACTGCATTTATATTGTGCATGTTGATTTCATCAAATTAGCTCAAGCAAAATCTCGGTCTGTGTTCTGATCCAGGTGTACAGACAGAGAGAGAAAAGGCCCCAGCTGCTCGTTGTTGCCGTCAGGACCCCAGAGCAGGTCAATGCATCCATGTGCTGAATGGATGCATGGATGAATGGATGCAGGGGACATCCACCTGCAGTAACTTACGTTTTCAAAGTGCCTCCCTTGCTGCCTCCTCTTCGTCAAAGCTCGGATCTCCTCTCGATGCTCAGCAGCTCTACTTCGAAGATGAGCGTGGCTCCTCCGGGAATTTTCGGAGGAGCGCCCCGGTCCCCGTAGCCCAGCTCGGCGGGGATCACCAGCTTCCTTTTCTCGCCCTCGCACATGCCCAGCAGGCCCTGGTCCCAGCCCTTGATCACCTGGCCGGTGCCCAGGGTGAACGTGAAGGGCCTGTCGCGGGGAATGCTGCTGTCGAACTCGGTGCCGTCCTCCAGCTTGCCGGTGTAGTGCATGTTCAGCACGTCGCCTTTGCGGGACTTGATGGGGCAGTTGTCGACGCGCTTTTTGATGCCGATCTGCAGCTTCTTCTTCTCGGCTCCGCTCACCGCCGCCGGGCTCAGCGACAGCACCGCCACCGCGAACAGCACCAACACCCGCATGGCCCCTCAGTCTCCAGCTGTCAGAGGGTAGAAGTTCAGACGGGCCTCGGCTCAACGACCAGAGAGCAAAATCTGTGTGGATGAAGGAGGGAAATGAGTCGCAAATTTAATACCGAGAGCGCATGTGCAGACGATACGACCGGAAGTAGTTTACCGGGTTGTGTTACTACGAAATATATCCGCAAAATCCGAAGTTGGCTTCAGATTCGTCTGTTACAAAGCATTTATTATTACCAGCTCCTCGAGAACCGACTGGAATCTAACTTCAACTCCTCACACCAGTCTGTTATGTCATACAGTGCACTGTCGCGGTCAACCAGTACACCTTGAGTAAGTCAACTTTTTAAAGTGTGTTTATTAAAATGTATATACACAGCTTACACGGGAGTGTAAGAACCGTCTTTAGGTTTATATCTACAGCTAACCTACGTGAACACTGGTGTCTTTACAGGCCTGAAACAGACGAGTTCCTGACGGGACAACTGAGTTAGCTAGCTGAGCTAACTGCTAGCAGACAGAATGCTCTCCCGTATGTTGTTTTCGCTCCTCAACAACCTCCATGTCGTGGAGAAGCTGGCAGAGTCTCGTCCGATTCGCAGGGCGGCTCAGATCACAGCTTACGCCATCACCAAGGCTCAGATAGCCGGCCGGGACGCCTCAGAGCGGGTCATGCGGTCCCAGACGCTGCGGCAGGTCCGACAGGAGGCCGGCAAAGTCCCCGGTGACCTGGGGGACGTGAACAACCGCCTCAGGAAAGTCCGAGATACCTTTGTGAATGAAGTGAAGGAGGGCTGGAAGGAAGGCTCCAGGCAGATCAAGAAATAGAAAGAGGACAGACTGGTTGTAGGATGTTAAAGTGACTGGGAACGTACCTACAACTACATGTTGGTTGTCTGTCTGGCGACATCTGGTGTGTTTATGGCCTCATCCTGTACTGCCTGTGTGTTTGGAGTGGAGGAGAGCTCAGAAGAAATGGTGTGTGTGAACCATCTGCCTCAGCAATGCACAACAACAGTATGCTGATGAACCACAACCTTCAGGAACCAGCTGGGGTGGTTGTTAATAATGTAATTATTAGTTCAAAGTGTGCATTACATCTTTCAGAAAGCCTGTGAGAAAAGTGGGATCTATCTGGGAAACTGGTGTGGTGAAATGAAGTATGCATGCCCAGATTTAGCTGACAGTTTCAGGTAATCTAGTAAATTTCTTGGGCAAACACATCCCTGGAACTGCCTTTTAATGATGGCCTCTCCACAACAACAAAAAACATACGTCACCCTATTTTCCGTCACCGATGTGCAATCATTCACAGATGACACTGACCCTGCCAAAGAGTTTCTTGGGCTCTGTACTTGGAAAATGATTTTGCTGGAGAAAAGATGTACATATATAAACAGATATGGTATGTGTCGACAATGGAGTCACCATTGAGTTGCGACTGTATGAATAAAGATTATAATTTATAAATGCACTGTGCTACATTGTGTCGACTGATATTTACCATTACTGCACTAAGTTTCAGGATGTAAATTACACTGAAAGGGGAAAAAACAAGTTCAAGTTTAATTTTTTATTTAGTTTGGAAAAGCTACTGCCAGGAACTGACTCAAGTACAAAAGAGTAAAGTGTACGATCAGCTGACTTTAGGTTCCTCGTTCATCTGCTTTCACAGCAACAGCAGCACTACAGATATGAAACACTTTACAACCCAGTTTATACAAATAAGATCATTTTATTGCCCCCACTTGTTCTCTGGAAGTGGCAAATAACAGCTTGACCTAGTTACTGTGTATCGTACAGTCACGTACAGCTGCCGTGATGGAATGGCCTTCAGTGATTGATGACCTGTTTAAGACTTTTTTTTCTTTTTTTTTTTAAAGCAAACATTTGATTTTGATGGCCTTTCAAAATGTGATACTTTGCCGCTTTTCCTATCCATCTTTTTTTCATCTCTGATGTCTTCAGGCAATACCTCAAGTTTGACTAAAGACCGGCATCTAAGAAGCTCCAAATACGTTATTGCGTAATTTAAATATTCCTCTTCTTTGTAGTGAGGACAGGACACGTGCAGACTACATGAGCATGTTCTACAAGCCTCCCAACCTCGTCTCTCCATCATTGTCAGGGGTTTAGAATAGAATAGAATATCCTTTGTTAGTCCCATAAGGGGAAATTTGCAACGTGACAGTAAGAAAAGCAAGAAAACACAACTGTATATTAAAGAGGCGATGTGTAAACAAATATATACAATAAAAAATAAGAAAAACAGAAGAACACAAGGATACTAAGAACACAAATTTAAGAATATTTCCATGAATAAATTGTTTATTCTGCAAGAAAGGGAAAAAAAAAAAAACATTTTCTCTGAAATTTCTTACAAATTTATAAGATTGTATGTGTTCTTGTCTAAATGAATCAAGAAAATAATGACCAACTAATCATTTATGTAAATAAAAATGAGTTATTCCTTTACTTTCACTACTTTTAAACAACAAAAGGGGGAAAAAACACAGCTGAACTTTTCATGTGGTTGTATAGATCAAGATGTGTGTCTCTGTGAATAGCAAAATATTTAAGGACATGATTTCTGACACAAGAGGCTAAAAATAAAAATACTAGTGTCTGCAGAGAGGCAGCTACATCACACTTATTCTGATGCAGATGAAGATGATGTGGGATTGTTTAAAGGCCTGTTACCAAACAGTTGTGCAACAGACACCCTCATGTGGACAGAAGCAGTTTGAAATGTTGCCCTAATGCCAACAACACTGTGAATAATCACCACTCAAAATAAACAAAAGCTCAACACTGTATTTTTCTGCATTTTCTTTTATTTCATTCGAACAAGCATAGAATACAGCTTTATGTAGCAATACTTATGCAGACACACTGGCCTGGCAACTAAATATTAGTTACATGTTAGGTCATTTCACACAGAAATAAATCTCCATCAGTAGGAAGAGAAGGCGTTGGTTTCTGACAGCATGAGTCAGTACATATACACTGATATGGCACCTGAACTTCATATAAAAATAAATCTCTCAACATAGGAAAATACACATCCAATCAACATGTTAAAACCTGGAACATACAGTAGATATGACAAGAGCCCCATAGTCTGAGTTAGAAAGTTTCTGGAGTGAGTTGTTTGGGCGAGAAGACATGAAATCGGACTTTTGGCTAAGAATAATCTTTATTATCTTTAACTATATTTCACTCTTTTCGTACTTGCACATGACTAAAGACGTTGCGCTAAAACCCTTCCCAAACCAAAACAGAGTCAATTTCCTACCTGTAATACTGTAAGTCAGACATAGTGCAAATCACAGAGTGTTTTTGACTTTAGAAGTTGAAATTACATGAATAAATTAAGTTTTTTTCAGCTAACACGACCCCCCCTTTGACTTAACCTATCCAGATGAATCTAAAACATTCTCCACAAATCACAGGATGTTTTCTTCATGTCCTCCCCAAATCTGATAGAACCTGAACAGTGTCAGGGTTACTCACTTTATTTAAATGGAACGAATACTCAAAAGGTGTGAAAAATGGCTACAGGATGGAAAGCATGTTGTTGATCAAATTATTTATCTTCCTTTTTTTATTCTTAAGTATTCGAGGAGAACACATGAAGCCGACACCCTATGGACAAACACTGAACCACTCATCATCACACGATGCCCAGCACGGCTCTGTGTGGAGGCAACACTAGTGCATATTCACTGATATGGCATTAGCATATAGTAGAAACACAGCCTGAAGGAAAAAAAAACAAAACAGGACTGTGAGCGAGTGGCAGCAGAGCAGAGCAGCAATCTGATTTCTATGTTCACATGAAGCCTTTGAACAAGAGAGAGCGGATGAAGAATCTGTTAAAATGGGTTTGATCGGTACAGCTTTAAAAGATTATTTTTTTCAGCAAGAAGCGTGTTGTTTACACTGAATGAAAACATTTCAATGTTAAGGATGAAAAAAATATTAAAGGGTCAATTCACCCAAATAGTAAAACAGACATGCAAGCCATGTTTGTTGCTATTTTCCCAGTTTCTATACTGAGCTCAAAACAGAAGCTGTACTGTGGATGGGATTTTAGTTGTGATGTTGAAAAACCTCAAAAGCAGCGTGTCTTTCCAGAATCAGTGTCCCCTTTACTACCTCACTTTGTACAGTTTCTGGTTCTGAAGACAACATGTGTATGAAAACTGTGTTTGGTTGTGTTTTTTCAGTTCTGCAAGCACCACTAATGATTTATTTCAGTTCCTTTGTATCAGTGTTTAAGCAGAAATCTGGAAGTTGTGAATTTAGAAGCTTACACCAACTAAACCAGTAATAATGCTGATTTACAAGATGTAAAATGAGAAAACACATGGGTGACCTGGCCCTTTAAGCTGTTATTAAACAACCAAGAGCATTTTTGTGTGTCCTGACTGAAAATATTAACAGCAATAGAACGGAATGTTAATATAAAAGATGCAGAAATACATTTCTTAGATATATATTTCATTTAGAAATACAACCTTGGAAACATCACCAAAAAAAAGGCACCTTTCATCCCAGATCTTCATCAGATTAAGTTTCTCTAAGGTGAATCAGAAGCTCATGTGAGGTCAAAAATCAGATTGTCTCTTCTTTGCAAAATCTTTTAAGAGACAAGGATGCACCGTCCACTGGAGCAATGTAACAGGTGGCAGCATACTCACTGATATGGCAGCTCACCTTCAGTAAACATAGTGGCAGCAGCACCTTCCCTCATCTTAAGCTGTTCAGTACCTAACTCACATCTCTGCCACAAAGACAGGAGACATTGTACTTCATTTGCTTCAACACCAGCACCATTTAAATCCAAAGGCAGTCCCAACATGCTGTCCTCACATGTATATGTTGAAGTTACATATAATTAGGTAGACATGATGCAAAGAGACAGAAGGGAAGTAGGACACCAGAACAGCAGGGCTAAACTGCTCTGGAAAGCTATGATGGGTGATTTGATTAGACAGACATCAAGACAGAGAGGAGAGATAAAGGGAAGGAAAGTGGAAATAAAGGGTAGGAGAAGAGGCGTGTGTCAGGTTCTGTCTTTACATCCAGTAGTTGGTCAGCATGAAGCTGAACAGAGCCACCAGCAGCAGCCATGCAGACGACACCACTGTAGGAGAGAAGGGAAAATATGACAGAGGCTGTACATAAGAGAACAATAAACAGAAAAAAACTCATCTCACTACAGCATGCCAGATCATCTTCTGCAGACAGAGCCCAGCTTGCAGTTTCTACCTGTCTCCAGTCTTTATGCTAAGCTAAGCCGCTAGCTGTAACTTCATATTTAGCATCCAGACATGGGCGTGGCAGCTCTATTTTGTTTTTAACTCCCTTCAAGTAACATATCCCCCAAAATGTTAAACTATCAAACAGCATTAATGTTGTTGTTATTATTTTTTTTTTTACCTGCACTTGATGAGTTGCACTCCATTTCAACCAGTGCGTCCAGGTAGCCCTGACCCAACCACTCCTGGTACGTCTTTTTGTCGGCGACGCCCATGAGGCGAACGGTGGAGTCTTTGAAGACCAGATCTGTGCCTTCGTAGGCCTGCGAGTCAAACATCTTGAAACCAGTACCTGTATCACTGCCGAAGTACACCTACACAGGAACAGATACATGGACGAACAGGACAACAGAGTTAAGATAAACTGAATTAACACCAACATGAAACATTTCATACACTCCAGGTAACCACTGATTTCCACTCAGTTTATTGTCCAGTACAGTTCAGCAACAAAAACATTTTGTTGCCCTAATTTCTTTCCTTTTCCTGTGTGATCTTCAACAACTCATTGATCGTGTGTTCAGTGACATGTAGTCTTCTGTGACTGCAATTTATTCAAATAGACAATTATTTTTTATCTACTTATGATGGAAATCCCTACTTGGATTAAATGGAGAATTTTATTTTGAAAGGTGCATGTTAACATTTCCAGTGTTATTTTTTGCTATTATAGTTCTTCCATACACTTTTTACAATGTTGGATATACTTTTGTGGGACCACATATGTATGATCCATTGTAGAATACATGTACTTACAGCACGCATTTGAACTCCTTTATTCTGGGTCTTTATCAAAGAAAGGATACCAGAGTGTCCTTGAATGCACCACCAGCAATCCCACATTTCTTACTTTTATTGTGAAGGATCCATATCTGTCTCAGGCAGGTTTCAAGTCTCTGTACTTTGCATGCCTGCACCCTCCACCGCTTTCAAATCAGACAGTACATTCACATGAACACTGTTACCTGTGCGCGGTCCAGGAGTCCATACACAGCGTGGATGTTGGTGTCCGGCCGTACCATTACGGCGTGAGAAGGAACTCTGGCCAGGTTACAGTATTTGTACTGTGTGACTTCAGCTTTCGTTCCCTGAGGGCAGAGCAGCTGGAAGTCTTTGGACACTAGATCTGCTGTCCACGACTCCGATGACTGACCTGAATAAACACGGAGCGTGAAGTCATTACTCATTTCACATAAAAGTACATTTAAAAGGAATTGAAGTTCTGTGTCTTACCATCAGTGTTTTGGAAGACAGTAGAATGCTTGACGAAAGCCACTTCTCCATCTCCTTTAGCCAGACACCTGGTTCAACGCATAAACAAATGAGGTCACATTCACACTCGCATGTTACTCATCTGTTGGAGGGAACAGAGCTGCTGGGTGAGGAGGAGGAGGAGGAGGAGGGGGATTTCAGGCACTCCTGGAAATTAAACTGAAAATCCTATTCAGTCTTCTCAAAGACAAACTTGTTTCACCAATAACTGGAGATCTTCTTTGGCGCGGATCGGCGTGAAAGTTTTCTGGCTAAATCTTTAGTTTTAAGAATGAACAGCTATGTTTGCTATTTGATAAAAACAAAGTAAAGACCTGTGTGTACAACTCCTAATGTGCAGGAAACATCCAATCACAGAGCCTAAAGTTCTGTGCAGCATTTAGAAGACAGAGCTTAGGTGTTGTTAAAAGTAACAATAAAATGTGCAATTTAAATCAATTTACTTTTGCAGTCGGGGTTAATTCTGGATAAATCCAGCAACGATTACTCTGGATGGTGAGTCTTACTGGCTTCTTCTTCAAGGCAGCTGTTTAGGAGAATCTTGGATATTGGAGTATTTAGACCAGCACACAGATTGGATACCAAATTCAAAGCTGGTGGCCTCTCACTTTTAAGAAAGTTCTGCACCAAATGCATGAGCCATAAAGTTCTTTCTAGGTTCTGGGTTTACGTCCACATTGTACAGCCAACTACATATTAGTGTTTGTGCAACACTGGAAAGATTTCCTGCAAATAAAAATAGATTTGCTTGGCTTGGGTTTTAAACTTATTATTATGAAAAAGCCAGCTTGCAAAGCTCAGTGAAACATGTCCTCCTGATGAGGTGAGGAGGTTCGGGACGTGTTTGCTACCTGAAGGCACCGTTGTATCCATCGTACAGGTCTTTTCCCTTCTCACACTTGTTCTGTCCCGAACTGTCTCCCACGCACAGACCACACAGGTTGCTGGGGAAACCGGGTTGATTGGCACCTGGTACACAGCTCTCCTTGAAGTACCCTCCCACCGCTAAGCATCATGGGAAACAAGAAATACAAAGTCCCAGACTGGCACAACAGTTTAGGCTTTTAGATTAAATACGTTTCAGCTTTAAGGCCAGCTTACTCAGTCTGTGACAACAACTGTGAGCCTGGAGGAGGAATATTGCTCTAAAGATGTAATCAGGGTTATCTTGCTTTGTAAAAATGTTACCAAGGGGTATTATGGGAAATGTAGTGTCCAGCATTTTAAGAAGTTGGTTCAAATGAAAGACTAAGAATCATGATTTCATGGGCTCTGTTGTACTGTTGTCTCTTGCGGGTCCCCAAACTTTATGGAAAAAGTAAACAACTTACTGTAAAGGCAAATTCAAGTTTAATTCAACAGTTTGATGTGTTTGACCTCTGTTACAACACAAGGAGTGAGTTCAACTGACCACACCAGCTCACTCCTCTGCCACACACACCTACACACACGTCACACTGACCTTGGGGTATCTCACAGTGCTTAGGGGTGATCAGGCCTTGATCTATTAGCGCTGCAATGGGAACGTTCCAGCCAGCCGTGCGGCCATATCCAGTGTGACAGGAGCGACGGCCACGCAGGTCTTTAAGGTCACGGATGTCAACGCTAGTCTTTTTCACCACTGCAACGGCGTAGTATATGGCACCATCACGGTCCTCTGGAGAGAAAGAAACACATCTGTCTGAGTGCTTCTTGTCTCTAAAACCACAATGTGTTTCCATATCTTTGTATTTTTACCCGTGTAGCTCTCGCCAACTGCAGGCACCAAGCCGTAGTCTTTGCCTGCTGTGTAGATGTAACCTCCATCCAAAGTGATGGCATCGGCCTCATTGTTCTGCACAAACACGACAAGGAAAAACTGAGGTCAGTCTACCAGAACTACTAGAAAAACAGCATCATTTGGTAAAGAGACTGTGTTTATAGTCAAATGGCTACCATAGCATATTCTCAATTAGCAAATCACAAGCATATTGCCTGTAAATATGCATGTTTGCTGATAAATAACAAGATGTGCCACTGAAATTAGAAATGTGCTTGTCAGAGAGGATGAAATGAGTCATGAGGTCCAAAATCAAGTCTTAAACTTTGTGTTTCACGTTCTAAATAACTCGTTATACGTCCTTTACCAGATGTAAAGGCACTTTAAATCTGAACACTGTTGTAGTGCAATAACGATACAGAAAGATGCTAGCTGGTATGGCTATATGGATGGACTGAAATACTCAACACCATTGTCCCTATAGATCAGTCCTGCTATCTTTAGCAATCACTACCAGGTTACAAAGGGAAACAAGAATTTGTTGATAAATTCATGCTTCCCTTCAGGTTGCATTGTAATTAATTTGATGACCCTATAAGGCCAGTGCTATACTTTCCACATTCACAAAGGTACGCTGAGGTCCATGTGATGTAAATTTCCTCCTTTTTCCAAGCCTGTAAGAGTCTGCACAGAGCCCTCCGCAGATGTCTGCATGCAGCCCAAAAAGCTTTGATTCTACTCCCTTGCGGATGTGCACAGGAACAGCTGTGAATACCACAGATGCATCATCATAGCCACCATAGTCCTTTGTATTTATTCTGTTAGATTCTACTTGGTGGACACCACTCCATACATCTGCAGTAGGTTGTATCTCCATATTCCATGCATGTACTCTACTGCCTTGTCTGCACAGAGAAAACATTTGGCTTTCACACAGAAGTGTCTGCACGGTCGAGAAAATTATGAAATGTACATCATGAGGACCTTCACATACTCAGAAAGCATAACACTGTCCAAATGTGTGTCTGCGTGGCCACTACTGGAATAGTGACAATGCTTTGAATATATAGACACAGATCTATGTAGTATGTATGAGTACATGTTCTTCAGGCGAATGACAACGTTTAGTTTGAAACCTTGTGGATGCACATATAGGAAGCTGCTGACATCATGAACACAGAGTTGTTGTTATACTACTGTCTAGTCCACTTTGAGTCACAAATTTTCTCTTTCATGCCGACTGTGCAGGCTTTTAATGGATTTAGGTAGATAAAATCACGTGGATTCAAGCACACCCTTGCGCACACATGGACGTGCAAAGTAAAAAAAAACTCTGCTGAATCTGTTGTCTGACCCATTGTTTTGTGTGAGTGCAAATTAGATTTTTTACAATTTGTTGAGTTGAAAATGAGTTAAAACAACAGGCCTGGTACATGCCTGGTGTGTAGTGTAGCAGCAGTTAGCTCACAGTGCTACTGTATCTATGTACGGCCTCAAAGACCTGCTAGTATGTCGTTGGTCTCATAAACATCTGAATAAATAAATAATAATAAACCTAAACAAACTCAAACTAAGCACATGTGACTTAAGCTGAATATTTTGCATGTTGCTGAGTCTGATCATCTGTGGTGTCATCACTTAAAACACTGTAAAGTGTTCAGCTCAGTAATCATTTTGAAATCTTTAATAAGTAGTTTGTGGTGTTTCTCCTTATGTTTTAATCTGAAATTAATGCCACTGCAGCTGAACCAGCAGCAACAAACATCAGGTACCTTGATTTTCTTCATGCAGTCGGTCACTGAGTCCCCGAAGACACAGTTGATTCTTGGAGTGAGACCTTTACTTTGGAAGGCAGAGCCCATGTCAGCACACTTGCGCTGCTCGCTGCTGGACAGCACGCACCACCGCAGGGCAGCTGGGAGATCTGTAGATGGAGAGACGGGTGGAGGTAAAGACAGACGGAGGGGTTCACAGGTGGGCTAAACACAAATCAATACACTGAACACAGAAGGTATTAAGAAAGCTCCAAATGCTGTTTTCCTCTCACATGAAAATGCGACACCAGTAGTTTAACTTATGATGTTGAGTTCTACATCAGTACTTAGCAGACATTTCTTCACCTTCAGCTTTACAGTCCATAGCTGTCATAGCGTTATGGTACATGTCACCCATCCACTTCTTGGGCTCCTCGTACTCGGCCTTCTCCAACGTGGTGGTCGACTCAGAGAAAAGCACAGTTCCGCCGCCATAATCAGCAGACGAGAACATCTTGAAGTTGGACTTTTCCTGCAAAACATTAGGACACACTTAAAATATGTCTCACATGCAGAATCGCACAGTAGAAATGCATTATCACTCTTAAATGTTAAAGCTGAAGTTGGCAGAAATCTGAAAAAGGGAACAAAAAACAAAACAACGAAAGAAAAAAATAAAAAGTTGGAGGGTGCAAGTTTAACCACAAGACTCCAAATTGGTTAAACAACACACATATCCAACATTGTCATTTTTTGTCATTTTCATTTGATAGCTGACAAATAAGTTTCACAGTGTGCTGAAACAAAACCTTCAGGCCCGCTGAGTTGCTAATGAACAAGCAGTGCTCGTGTTTGTTGGTGTTAGATGGCAGAGTTTGTGTGGACGTACCATCCCCTCCTTCAACATGGCAAACACCACAGAGGGAGTGATGTCCTCTCTGACCACAACGCCACGAAACGGGACACGGACCAGGTGACATCTTTGCCACTGAGAGACCGGAGCTCTGGTGCCGTCCCGACATAGCAGCTCATAATCTGACGACAGCAGAGCCTGAGCCCAGGCTGGGCCGCGACCTGTCGAAGAAATGACTTGTTAGCTCACAGATAAAACTACAATAAGGTGACCGAATGTGTCACTAGTTAGCGCAGTAACCAACGTAGACATTACCATCAGTGTTCTCCTCAACAGTCGTGTGTTTGATGAAGGCCACCTGACCTGCGTCTTCAACCAAACACCTGCAGAGACCAAAAAAACAGAGGAGAGGGAGTTTTGAAAGTTCAATTTCACCCCATGTTGAAGTGTTTTTGTTTCTCACATTTTTATTTTTAGCAAAATCTTCTGTCACAAAGAGAATGCTGACCCACACATGTGCCCCCTCTGGCAGTGGCCTGCAAGTGCTTTCTTTTTTCTTTCTTTGCATCGATCCAATAGTGATGATATACACACCAAGCACAAAAATCTTTGTGTTTGTTTTTCTTTTACGAGCTGTGAGCTGTCTAAGTGATGGTGTCTTTAATAGAGAATGGAATAACACTCAATCTGCGTGTACTATAATCCACGCTCCTCTGTTCCAGTCTGGCCCCATGTACATGTTAGTGCATGTGAGTCCCTCTCCTTGAAACTGTGTATTACCTGAAAGCTCCTTCATAGCTGTAGTACATTTCTTGGCTGCTCTTCTCACATACGTGCTGTCCTGCACCGTCTCCTTTGCACAGCTGGCACAGCGACGCAGGGTCACCAGGCTCATTGGCTCCAGGAATACAGCTCGCATTGAAGAAGTTTGCCACGCCTGATCATAGACACACACAGACACGCAAACATTTTTTTCATTGTTTCTGTCGAGTGCATGCTAGTCATGCATTTTGTAACTAAGACATTTATTTAACTTTCATCATGGTGGCTGAATCAGGCATGATGATTACCAAACAAACCAGAATGTAGTGCAATTGTTAAGCCATATATACAGCATGTCACAAAAGTGAGCAATGGAAAGTGGGGCAGCACGAGGTCTCCAACATCCACCAGCTCCGTGATGTCATCATGGAGGAGTGGAAGAGGATTCCAGTGGCAACACATGTTCTCTAATATTAGCTGTGTTGTGTTGCCACTGTGGTTTTCATTCAAGTAAACTCCATATTGAAACTTTACACAGGTCTTTCTTACCCTGTGGGATGTTGCAGCCCATCGCAGACATGTAACCCTGGTCTATAAAGTATCCAAGAGGCATATTCCAGCCGGCGGTTCGGCCTTTCCCGGTGTGGCAGGTCTTCTTTCCTGCCAGGTTGTTGATGTTGATGGCAGAGTTGGCTTTCTTCACCACAGCAACAGCATGGTAGGAGAAGGTTTCTGAGGAAACAGCAGCAGCGGCGTTAACATACAAACTGTGTTGTTTGACATGTTGGTGCTGCACTCGTATTATCAGGGAACAGAAATAAGATCTCGGAGACCAAAGTATAACCCTTTGGAATACGCCATGTACAGTACAGAGATCATAACCGGGGTAACGTGTGTCGCAGTTGAGAACATGGCAGTAGGAACTTAGTCCATCTTATCTGAGATAAACAACACGGTGACCTCCATCTAATGCGTCATCAGGACACACATGAACAGAAGAACTTGTCTGATTTAAAATGAGGCCACTCGTGTCGGACGTGGAAACTGTCTGATTGAGAGCTCTCATCATAACCACGACCTATAAATCATGACAATAAGATAAAACCAAAGGATGAATTCAGACAAGTCACACATTTTATGATCCAATGGTTTGGTTTTGATCACATGAACTAAACATTTTGGTGAAACATGTGAGGAGGACTCTGTTTTATCTGCCGTCTCTGCAGCAAAATCATTCTTCCACCACTGCTTTACACACTGATACTTTTCATAGGAGGAATAGCAGTGAATATGTCTAAAATAACCCTTTGCATCCTAGTACCAGTACGCTTGTTTTACTTTGATCACCAGGATTGAAAGATTTGTTCAGAGGCCTGGGCTTAGCCGAGATCATTTAGAGCCATCATCAGAGCTTGTTTGCCATTGGAGGGAGCGCTATTTCTTTACAACCACGTCTCCTAGTCTTTCTCCTCTACATCATGCCTGTTAAGTTATTGTTGCATCATGCTTACCACCAGCCTTTGATTCACTGGCAGCCATCTTGAAGGAAGCAGTCTTCCTTTGCTTGAAGATCTCAGAGCCAAACATGGAAAAGGCATCGGCTTCTTTGTTCTGCAGAGGCACAGGCAAGAAAAAGATTTAGAATGGTA